TGCAGTGTTCGCAGCTGTGCTTTCAGCTGAATCACCTCACTCTCCACTTTTGTTTTGTCCTCGATAATCTTTCTCAGTGTCAGATCACTCGGAGTACGAGTCAGACTGCCACGCCTTCGTAATCCTGAGTGACCAAAGAATAACATATATTTTAGTTGGAACATGGTCGCCTTTGGATCCTTTTTCTCTGGATAGTTAGATGTCATCTTTAGTCATTGCTACCTGTTCGCTGTTAACTTAGTCATATATGAATGAGCTACTGTACAACTTGAGTCAGTGCCACCTGTTCTGAACCTGGTCAGAGATGACTGAGCTATCATATAACAGTAGTTAGTACCACCTGTTCGCTGTTAACCTGGTCAGAGATGACTGAGTTACTGTATTTTAGTCATTGCTACCTGTTCTCTGTTAACTTAGTCATATATGAATGAGCTACTGTACAACTTGAGTCAGTGCCACCTGTTCTCTGTTAACCTGGTCAGAGATGACTGAGCTATCATATAACAGTAGTTAGTACCACCTGTTCGCTGTTAACCTGGTCAGATATGACTGAGCTATCATATAACAGTAGTTAGTGTCACCTGTTCTCTGTTAACCTGGTCAGATATGACTGAGCTATCATATAACAGTAGTTAGTGTCACCTGTTCTCTTTTAACCTGGTCAGATATGACTGAGCTATCATATAACAGTAGTTAGTGTCACCTGTTCTCTTTTAACCTGGTCAGATATGACTGAGCTATCATATAACAGTAGTTAGTGCCACCTGTTCGCTGTTAACCTGGTCAGAGATGACTGAGCTATCATATAACAGTAGTTAGTGTCACCTGTTCTCTGTTAACTTGGTCAGATATGACTGAGCTATCATATAACAGTAGTTAGTGTCACCTGTTCTCTTTTAACTTGGTCAGATATGACTGAGTTATCATATAACAGTAGTTAGTGTCACCTGTTCTCTTTTAACCTGGTCAGATATGACTGAGCTATCATATAACAGTAGTTAGTGTCACCTGTTCTCTTTTAACTTGGTCAGATATGACTGAGTTATCATATAACAGTAGTTAGTGTCACCTGTTCTCTTTTAACTTGGTCAGATATGACTGAGTTATCATATAACAGTAGTTAGTGTCACCTGTTCTCTTTTAACTTGGTCAGATATGACTGAGTTATCATATAACAGTAGTTAGTGTCACCTGTTCTCTTTTAACCTGGTCAGATATGACTGAGTTATCATATAACAGTAGTTAGTGTCACCTGTTCTCTTTTAACTTGGTCAGATATGACTGAGTTATCATATAACAGTAGTTAGTGTCACCTGTTCTCTTTTAACCTGGTCAGATATGACTGAGTTATCATATAACAGTAGTTAGTGTCACCTGTTCTCTTTTAACTTGGTCAGATATGACTGAGTTACTTACTGTACAACTTTAGTCAGAGAACAGGTAGTACTGACTACTGTTACATGGGAGATTTTGTTAAAACATATACATTTCTCACATGCTACGTACAAACACAAAATCTATAATATGATCTAATGTGTGAATAACTTTACCTATTGATTTCCCTCTACAGCTTAATGTGTTCTCTGAATTTTAACATTTGGTGAGAACATACTAAAGAAACCTGGCTTTCACAGGAGCCACCAGCCCTGTGTTTATTGCCACTTTGATTTTTCAGCATAGTCATTTCTTCACTTTGCCTTCTCCTGTGACATCTTCTGATACTGAAAAGGTTAAAACATTTAAAACAATAAACAAACTCAATTGTCTGACCTTCTGTTTCCACAGCTTCCTTCTCAGTGGGGGAATCCTTATCCTGGGTGAGGTCAGCTGTTCTTTTCTGGCTAACCAAATACCTCTGTGTGGCCGCTTGATTCTCCTTTTGCAGTGCTGCCTTTGCTTGCTCAAGTTCATGCTTGTCAACCTCAATCTGCTGCTTCAGTTGCTCAAGCATCCCCATTTCCCGATCAAAATTTGACCTGTCAGTAAAAAATGTCAGTCCTTAGCAAACCAATTTAAAACTTGAGTTAGATTTCATTCTTTACTTTTCTTGACTGACTGACGTTCAACCCCACCAGGACATCCCACCAAGCGATAAACGCCCAATGACACAAAGTGCCGCCATTCCGATGAGGATCACCGGGGATACAGGTCCTAAAAACCCATTCAACCCATAGGTTTGGTTATATTTGGGCCCCGACACTAGCCAGGGAAGGCGGTCTTTAAAACCAAAAATAATTGCATCCGACATCGGGATGCACTGTCCAATTTTTACTATTCTTTATCTTTGTTTTGTTAGCATCTGTGGCTTCAGCATTGCAAATGTGATTCATAAATCCATGGTGTAAGGTTTGATCCCAGCTGTGGACGATTTGGCAGCTGACTGCCTTGTGTTGGCTTTAACAGTGGTGTCGAGAATTGTTCATTCAGAAAACAATGGCAAAACTACTGAACGTAAAACTGACATAAGAAATAACAAACAGCCAAAAAATGCTGGAGTTGGTTCTGCATTGTCCTGTAAAAGATACGCAACTAAAACCTTTGTCTTGTGTGTAGCTCTGTTGCCTCAAGGTTAGATAATGCATTTAACAATTAATTTAATGACGCTCAAGACTAGGGTTGGACTTTTGTAGCTACTCATCATCATGTAGCAGGACGTTTGCAGAATGTCACCCTGATCATCTTTTGCCTGAAAGAAACTCAGTCTTTCAGCAGCTCCTCACCTTATATACTTCCTTACTCAAGGCGTCACTTATTTCCTGTAACCCTCTTCATGCTGGTAAGCCCCTGCCTCTCTTTCCTAATATCATGCCTTTTATTATAATTCTTTTTAATCTGTCATGGCACTTGATATGGCTAACATATTGCATTTCCAAGACAAGATGTTGTTTACTAACCAATTTTCCTTGATGTTTAGATCTTTTTCGGATGTCAGTATTCCTTTTTCTTCTTGGTCCGTAGTATTTTGAGAATCTTTCTTCAGAATTTCAGCTCAAAAGCCATTTTTCTCTTCCTTAATGATTGCAAACTGATGTCTGTATGTTGTTACAGGGAAGATTCCCGCTGGCTTTGATTTCCTTGCTGGTGCTTAACCATAGACTTTTAATTATATTGATTCTGTGGCAAACTGTGTATATAAAAACACTGCTCTTGTGGTGCACTGTTGCAATCTTCAGACAAAATTGTGTATATAAAAACACTGCTCTTGTAATGCACTGTTGCCAATCTTCAGACAACTGCTGTGATACCTGAAGCTGAGTTAAAAATCAAGATCATAGCCCATCAGGCATTCCCAAGATGCTTTGTCTCTGATAGCAAATGTCTATAGGTGTAGATCCTAACTGTCTGTGTGGATTCTGGGGCCCCATTGTGGGGGGAACAGAAAAGATCCACTGCCTTTGTAACAAGCATGTCGTAAAAGTTGACTTATTATAGCTTTCCTTCGAAGTCGATGTGCATCTGCCTTATAGACGAGGAACCAACAGTCTGCATACAAATAAGCCAGATCTGTAATACTGATGTGCTCAGAAAACTCAAGTTTCATAAAAGACGTAGAAGTCCAGAACTGGAGGAACAACCAGAACTTTTAAACATAGTTTAAGCTATTGAGTACTAAGGAAAGGAAGGAAGGAAGGAAGGAAGGAAGGAAGGAGGGAGGGAGGGAGGGAGGGAGGGAGGGAGGGAGGAAGGAGGGAAGGAAGGAAGGAAGGAAGGAAGGAAGGAAGGAAGGAAGGAAGGAAGGAAGGAAGGAAGGAAGGAAGGAAGGAAGGAAGGAAGGAAGGAAGGAAGGAAGGAAGGAAGGAAGGAAGGAAGGAAGGAAGGAAGGAAGGAAGGAAGGAAGGAAGGAAGGAAGGAAGGAAGGAAGGAAGGAAGGAAGGAAGGAAGGAAGGAAGGAAGGAAGGAAGGAAGGAAGGAAGGAAGGAATTCTCTTGAGAGAAAAAAAAATAACTACACTCAAAGGTAACAGACCATGGCAAATGCAGATACATTTATTTGCTCCAATCTACTCAATTGCTACTGACAAAACATAGCAAACTATGCCAGGCAATCAACTGTGCAATCAGCTGTTTTGTGTATTGTGTCTCCTAGGCCAAGTGGCCAAGGTTCTTTCCTTGTGCTCTGAAAGTTCTGATTCATTTCACGGAAGAACAAGTACAATTTGTATGGAAATCCCTCCAGATCATAGCTGAAGCTAGGGAGTTTCTGCTGTATTTCAGCAAAATGGGGTAAAATCTGGTGCTATAAAGTAGATCCTCTCGAATTAAAATTTAACCAGAACTTTTAAACATAGTTTAAGCTATTGAGTACTAAGGAAAGGAAGGAAGGAAGGAAGGAAGGAAGGAAGGAAGGAAGGAAGGAAGGGAGGAAGGAAGGAAGGGAGGAAGGGAGGGAGGGAGGGAGGGAGGGAGGGAGGGAGGGAGGGAGGGAGGGAGGGAGGGAGGGAGGAAGGAAGGAAGGAAGGAAGGAAGGAAGGAAGGAAGGAAGGAAGGAAGGAAGGAAGGAAGGAAGGAAGGAAGGAAGGAAGGAAGGAAGGAAGGAAGGAAGGAAGGAAGGAAGGAAGGAAGGAAGGAAGGAAGGAAGGAAGGAAGGAATTCTCTTGAGAGAAAAAAAAAATAACTACACTCAAAGGTAACAGACCATGGCAAATGCAGATACATTTATTTGCTCCAATCTACTCAATTGCTACTGACAAAACATAGCAAACTATGCCAGGCAATCAACTGTGCAATCAGCTGTTTTGTGTATTGTGTCTCCTAGGCCAAGTGGCCAAGGTTCTTTCCTTGTGCTCTGAAAGTTCTGATTCATTTCACGGAAGAACAAGTACAATTTGTATGGAAATCCCTCCAGATCATAGCTGAAGCTAGGGAGTTTCTGCTGTATTTCAGCAAAATGGGGTAAAATCTGGTGCTATAAAGTAGATCCTCTCGAATTAAAATTTAACTTTGTTCAAATTTACAATGGAAAAACAATCAGAAAGTATCATTTAAAATATATACACTTACTTCTTCAACTCAAACACAACCTTCTCTTGTTCAAACTGCTTTCTTTCTACTTGAAAATCTGCACGATCTTTCTCTATTTCCTCCATATCTTTCTCCAGCTCTTCTTGTTCCTTGTCCAGTTCATTGCGTTCGTGAACCAGCTGTTTTCTTCTCTCTTCTTCACTGTTAGTTTTCAGTGACGGGTTGAGATGGGCGGCCATGCTCTCTCCTTCTGTATATTTACTGAGTTCTGCTTTCAGTTGGGAGACCTGCAAAATCATTTTGTGTAACAATGAAGGATAATCTAATACAAGGTCTGTTTTCTCTATTCTTTCTGTTTTTGTTTTTTTTATAGCAAGGAAGCTGAAATATTTTGGTCATATCAAGCAGCATGGCAAATTGGAAAAAATAACAGCAGAAGGCATGGTACCAGGAAGTAGGGGCAGGGGCCGACTAACACAAAGATGGGCACAGGATATAAGTGACTCATTGAATATGAAAGAACACGAGGCGGGAGAGCTGGCGAGAGACAGAGTTTCTTTCAGGCAGACCATGATGAAAAGGACCTTCTGCAAAGGACCTGCTACATGATAATAAAAGGATAGAAAGAGTTGATATGTTTATAGCAGCAATCTGTCAGCAAAGTCTTTCACATTATTAGTAACAAGAGGAGTAGTTTGACAGAAGGTGCTATCAAATTTAAAGTAGTTAGGTACATGATAAAGTAATAGAAGATGCTGCTATATTTTAAAGTAGTAATGAAAGTTCTGTTAAACCTAAAGCAATATTTTAAAAAAAAAAGGTCCAAAATATTGTATTAGGGTCTCATAGGGTTGTCGGGGGGGGGGGGGGGGGGGGGGGGGGGGGTTGAGTCAAGAATTTACATCATAGCCTTCGGGGAATTCCCGTGCGTGCTCTGTCCTCATCTTCAGCAGCCAGCGCAGGGTTCCAATACTGATGGTAAGTAAAGATCCCTTTTACGCCTTTAGGCATATCGGGCATATGGGAAGAGCGCCCATATTTTTACAGACCATCAGCACTCGGTGGGTAATGTGGTCAGCATTACGCCGGCTGTCTTTACTTTCCCAGGACAGCCCATCCTGGTACCCATTTGAGGCTGGGTCGACCTGCGACGTCCTATACCACGATAAAAATCCACGCAGCCCGCAGTGGGTTTCGATCGCGGTATGTTGGATTACGAGTCGGACTCGCAACGCCTTAGCCACAGACGCCCCCTGATGGTACAGGTAACAATCTGGTTATATGTCCATCTTGCTTTTCCTCTGAGTGTAGTGAGCCGGCCAGACCCTCTGGTTACACCCAGGTGCCTCATTCTCTCCGGGCAATAATAATCTTGTTTCTTTACTGATTCCGTTGCTTGTTCTTAAAGGGCCTTGACCACATCTGCCTTGCCATGTATCGATTCACCATCCAGTGGTGCAGATCCAGCCAATCTGTCTGCCTGTAAAGGGCGGGGGGGGGGGGGGGGGGGGGGGGGGGGGGGGGGGGGGGGGGGGGGGGGGGGAAATAGACCCACTGGGGGGCCAGGGGGGGGGGGGGGGCCTCTCTAACAAGCACATATGATAGACCCACTTGCCTCTCAAAAGTCTACTAATTATGGGTGTTTCCTTTGAAGTTGGAGTGCACACGTCTGAGAGGAACAGCACACAAATAAACAAGATCTGTAAAAAGAATGTGCATGCAAAACTCAAGTTCTGAAACAAGACTAAGGTCCAGAGTGGGCGAACAACCAGAACTTTCCGCCACAGTTTACAGCCGGTGAATGCAGAGTAGAAGAAGAAGAAGAAGAAGATCAAACATTTTTATTTTTCATATGATTTCATTGCACCCCTTATTAGGCTACCGCTGAAACGAGGATATCCTAAAGAAACCATGAAATAAATGTGGATGAGAGAGGCCAAAGGTGCTGATCTGGATTCCATCCATAATATTGAAACAATTGCACAGAATGGGATGCCATGGAAGAATACAGTGTGAGCTCTGTGTGGTGTATAATGACACAACAGATAGCATCAGAATTGGAACTGTGCACTTGCTGCTGAAGGCAGAGAAGTAGCACTATGGGAATATCATGAGTGCTATGATGTCGGTTCTCAACTCATCATAACACGACACATCAACACTTTCATTGTCATTCTCATTGTCATCGTCATCATCATCATCATGATCATCATCATGATCATCATCATCATCATCATCAACCATCACCATCATCATCGACCATCACCACCACCATCATCATCATCATCAACCATCACCATCATCATCATCATTTCATGATGATGATTACGATGATATTAGGCTTGGTACCCTGCAGCCCAGGTTAATCTTTTGAAATTCTCCACTCTGATGGAAGTCTGAACTAAACAACTGCACATGTGAAGGCTGGTCCCAGCACCAACTTTACAACATGCCTCTCTACAAATGTAAAACCAGAAGAGATTGTGTGGGAAATTAGGAAATCAGAAACTATTTTAACAGTCATCATCATTATGAACATGGAACCATCATAAGGCAGAGAGAGTATATAACATGAACATGGAACCATCATTAGGCAGCAAGAGAGTACAATATGAACATGGAACCATCATGAGGCAGCAAGAGTACATAACATGAACATGGAACAATCATGAGGCAGCAAGAGTACAATATGAACATAGAACCATCATGAGGCAGCAAGAGTGTATAACATGAACATAGAACCAATATGAGGCAGCGAGAGTGTATAACATGAACATAGAACCAATATGAGGCAGCGAGAGTGTATAACATGAACATAGAACCAATATGAGGCAGCGAGAGTGTATAACATGAACATAGAACCAATATGAGGCAGCGAGAGTGTATAACATGAACATAGAACCAATATGAGGCAGCAAGAGTGTATAACATGAACATAGAATCATCATGAGGCAGCAAGAGTGTATAACATGAACATAGAACCATCATGAGGCAGCAAGAGTGACCATGAACAAGAACCCAATATGAGGCAGCTGTATAAAATGAACATAGTCATCATGAGGCAGCAAGAGTGTTATAACGTATGAACATAGAACCATTAGTATAACATACATGCCATATAAGCGAGAGTGTATAACATGAAACATAAACCAATAGTGAGAGTGTATACATTCTGAGCAGCGCAGCAGAGAGTGTATAACATGAACATAGAACCAGGCTCATGAACATAAATGCCAATAACATGAACATCCAATATGAGCAGTGAGAGGGTATCTGCAAATGACCTGTTCTAGAACCAATAAGGCAGTGAGAGTGTCTATTAGAAGCAGTGGGTCTAATCCTCCCCCCTCCCCCAGCCCAGTGTAAAATGAACATAGAAACCAATAAGAGGCAGCAAGAGTGTAATAAAACATGAACAATATGATACGGCACACAGGAACATAAACCAATATGACATGAACATAGAAACCCAATAATGCGATACAGTGCAATAATCATGTATAACATCGAACATACAGCACCAATATGAGGCAGCAACATAAACACAATAGCCCCCATCTAGTATTGCAGCAATACTGTAAAAAACAGTTGAACAAGTTCCAGAACATGAATCCAATGACAAACAGCAAGACCTGTCATAAACCAATATGACAGCAGAGTGTAATGAACATAACACTCTGGCCGGCAGCAAGTGTGCTAACATGAAACGGACTACTGATGAACAGAGAATGTTCCTTATGAATAAGGCAAGACACTCACCAGAATACAAATGCCAAACACTCTCTAATGCCAATACTCTCAGAGACTGTTCGAGAAAAAATTAAGCAAAACAGAAACAACTGAAACAAAGAACCCACCCATAAAAAATCCGCACCCACAAATAAAACACTCACCAATAACAATCACCAAAACAAACATCACAATAACAAACACACTCACCAATGACAAACACTCACCAATCTCATCAATAACAAACACTCACCAATGACAAACACTCACCAATGACAAACACTCACAATAAACAAATAAACACTCACCAATAACAAACACTCACCAATAACAAACACTCACCAATCTCATCAATAACAAACACTCACCAATCTCATCAATAACAAACACTCACCAATAACAAACACTCACCAATAACAAACACTCACCAATAACAAACACTCACCAATAACAAACACTCACCAATAACAAACACTCACCAATAACAAACACTCACCAATAACAAACACTCAACAATAACAAACACTCACCAATAACAAACACTCACCAATAGCAAACACTCACCAATAACAAACACTCACCAATAACAAACACTCAACAATAACAAACACTCACCAATAACAAACACTCACCAATAGCAAACACTCACCAATAACAAACACTCACCAATAACAAACACTCACCAATAACAAACACTCACCAATAACAAACACTCACCAATAACAAACACTTACCAATAACAAACACTCACCAATAACAAACACTCACCAATAACAAACACTCACCAATAACAAACACTCACCAATAACAAACACTCACCAATAATAAACACTCACCAATAACAAACACTCACCAATAACAAACACTCACCAATAATAAACACTCACCAGTAACAAACACTCACCAATAACAAACACTCACCAATAACAAACACTCACCAATAACAAACATTCACCAATAACAAACACTCACCAATAACAAACACTCACCAATAACAAACACTCACCAATAACAAACACTCACCAATAATAAACACTCACCAATAACAAACACTCACCAATAACAAACACTCACCAATAACAAACACTCACCAATAACAAACACTCACCAATAATAAACACTCACCAGTAACAAACACTCACCATCATTTCTGTCTTTTGTAAATCCTCTTCTAATTTACTGTTTTCATCCATTAAGGCTGTGATTTCTTCCTCGTGCTCATGCTTCAGCTGTTCGCTTATCATCTTAGCACTGTCTCTTTGTTGCTTCAGTTCCTCTTCAAACTCTTTTCTCTCCTGGGGAAGGAACAAGAGATGTTTTCTTGTGTCCGTTTGTTACTTAACAAAGATATTTAAGCTGTTTGAACAAAATGTGTTCATGGAATAGCTGATGCAGAAGATCGCATATACGCATCAATGATTATTCTTCTTCTTCAGCGATCTCTGATCATGCGCTGAATCCACTGTGGGCCATAATCTGGGATGTCCTCTCAAGGTCTTTTAGGTTTCCTCAAAGCCTAGTTGTCAGGTCTACTTGGTGTGGCCATATGTTGCTGGCCAAGAGAGGACAGTCTTGCAGGACATGTTATGGAGTCCGTTCAGCACGAAGACACTGGCAGAGAGCTGTTTGGCTTGTACCTAATTTATATGAGTGTTTATTGAGTTTGCAGTATCCAGTGTGTTAGCGAAAAACTGAGACTTGGTCTGTTCTGATTCAGTGTTTGAGAACATCATTGATTCAAGACTTGACTGCTTGCAATAATCTCAAATACTAGTGATAATTTTCTTCTGCCCCATTACACAGATTTTCGAGTTTGGCTGAAATTGGATGTGTAGGATCAAAAATAGGTTGATAACACAGTCTAGCTGTAGACCCAACATTATATACTAGCTGTTCTCATGGAGGTTTCAATAGTGAAATGGTCAAATCACTTGTCTCACATTTTTAAGGCTGTGGATTCATTTCACAGACACACTAATAGTGAACACTGTTTATGAAACATTGTTCACGATTCATGGAGATCACCAGGGATCATCACTGGAGCTTTGTGGTCCGTGCTTTGTGCAACATTTTGGTGAACAGCTAGAGGTTCTACTGAAATAGACTGAGATATATGAGATAACCCAGTACAATGAAGTCAATCCTCTTGACTTCAACTTTCACCTTTAACCCACTTTTTTTTTTTCAGTCCCAGGAGAAATGACTAAGGAGGTAATAGCCACTATCACGACGGCTTCACTTTCAAATTAGCTGCACACATTGGAAGCATCTATTGTTGAAGCCAGATTTCCTGAATGTTCTCTGACAACATGTACAAAATTGCACTGGGTGATTTTACAGATATCTTCTTCTTCTTTTCCCAATTAGTCAATTATTTTGACATGCATGTTCAGTAGGCAGTGGGTCTATTCTTGTTTTTCCCCACAATGGGGCCCCGGAACCAATACGGGAAATAGATATATAAAGGGAAATACTTAAACATATATATGTCTTGTGTTCTTCCGGCTGAAAAATTTAAGGGTGAAAGCAATTTTTTTAAAAATGAACAAAAATATATCTCTGCCTCTACAAGTCCGAAGAGGGAAGACCATCAACTAATGAACTCCCACCTTTTCTAAGATGCTCTTAAACTCCTCTTCAGAGGGGTGTCCTCCGCTGTTTGCTGTGTCACTGCAGATGTCATTCTTATGCTCCTCAACCTCATGCAGAAGACGAGCTCTCTCCATCAGGAGGTAAGCAATCTGTTCACTTTGCATGGCATGTGAGATTTCTGCTAGACCTTGTTCCGTCAGCATCTCTGTAATTTCGGCTTGAGCTGTCAGTGGAAGGGGAAGACAAACATATAAAACATTTAACAGATTCAGATGTTAGATCTTAAATGTAAAAACAAAATTAAAACTCATACATAATTTTTCCTTTCTTTTAAAAACTATGTTTCATCCCACATTGCAAGCAATACACTATTTTTCAGCTTTCAATTTTTTTTTTTTTAGGATCCAGAATCCATGAATTGTTAACCCTTTGGCTCGGTACTATGGATATCACAACCCTTCAGCCTTGATTCCATGATAGGTACCATAAATCTGAGAAGAAATGTGGCTTTTCTGTCTACCCCCGGGCGTGAACCCAGACCACAAGGAGTTCGTCACCCCGGTCACCGCGAAGTCAGGTTTAACCAACTACGCTAGCGAGCCAGGCTTCAGCTTTCTATTATCAAGTATTACAACAGGAAGTGGCTGTCTCCCGAAGCGATCAAATCTTACCAACTACTAACATTATAAAATGTTTCTAATGTCTCACCTCTCGCAAGTTACTTAAATTCGAGTCAGTTACTCAAATCTGGCCAGACACTCAAACTTGTATCTCTCAAATCATTTGAGCCATTCAAATCACCTTACTTTTTTCAAATGGTGTCTATCTATCAAATATTGTATGCCTCTCAAATCTTGTAATTAGTCCTTCATAATTTTTCTGCCATTTAAATCTTTCCTAAACACTAAAATTCTGATAGCAAATAAAATTGTGCCATTTATTGAAATGGTCATTCAAATCTTACTAGTCATTCTAATCTTCCCATACACTAAAGACTAGTCTCTCAAATCTTCTTATTCTTTCAGATCTCTTTAGTCATGTTGAATAAGTCAGAATCAAAATCCTGCCCACTCAATTACTTTATTTTTCTTCTTCTCTCTTAGGTGGGCAGATGGCATGTTTTATTGTAGTTTACAGCTAGGCTGGGATATATTCACCTTTCGATGCTACATGTCCGTTTTAAAGAAACTTTATAAAAAGCTGCCTTCAACGACAAGATGGTTAGGGTGGCAGTCGATCTATTTTTTTTCCCCTGCACAAAATTAGTCCTGGAACCCACATAAGAAGATCAGTTACTAAATACGTACACAAATGTAATACAGACCATTGCCCTCATGCTCCAGACTGATCACTTGAAGCTTCAAAGCCTCATTCTCAGTCTCCAACTCATGTATGAGAGCCTCTCTTTCATCAGACAACTGACGGATGTGTTCCACATAGTTCTCTACTTCTTTCATCTCCTCAGCCTGGGTTTCCTTCAGCTTATCCTGAAGTGACCTGGCTTCTTGCAGCTCCTCCTGTCAAGGTCAATGTATACAATTCTTACAAAATTGATGAATATGTGACAAAATTGATTTAACACACACACACATACACACACAACAAGTAAAGTTGTAATCCTAGGTACCCAAGTCATTTGGAGAAAATAAAATCAGTCTTGGTGAGAATTTAAAACTACAGCTAAAGAGCTTTTGTTCATTTGTTCTCTCTGTCTTTTCTACTCCCCTCCCCCCCCCCCCCTCCAACTTTTTTCTCTGCCTATTCAGTTCTCTTTCTCTTCCATACCCTCATGCTCTCTCATCAGCGACCGGGTCACCTAATGGCTGGCCGGTAGACGACTTTGTCGCCAGTCAGGACAGTATTTGGGTCTGTCTCCTCTGATCGCATCAACACTGTAAGAGTCCCTTTCATGGCTACTTGGTGGCCAGCAATGCTAAACCTTTGTATATGGAGCACATAACCTAGTCACAATTAAACCTAAAGCTTCCCCTGTGGGGATTGTTGAACTTTACGATTTTTTTTTTCCAGCAAAGCACCTCTATCTCTCTCCCTCCCTCTTTCTCTTTTTCTCATCCCTTTCCCTTCTGTCAGTCAGTCAGTCTTTCCTCTTGTGTCGAGTGCGGCACATAGGGCAGAGGTCATGACTCTCCATGCGTGGCGGTTCGTTGCAATCTGTTGTAGGTCTTGGATGTTTGAGTGGCCCATGAGCGAGCCTTCCCTGATGATAGTTCTACGTAGGGTTTCCCTTGGTCTTCCACGAGATCTTTTCCCCTGTGGTGTCCGAATGAGGGCTTCTCCCCTTCTGTATACCAAACAATTTCCTTCAACTCCAGTAGTTTGAATATTATTCTCCACTCGTAAATTATAGGGCCCCATTATGGCAGGAAAAAACAGAGTAGATCCACTGCCTCCCAAACAAGCTTGTCGTAAGAGTTGAATAATTATAGGGTTTTTTTTTTGGCATGGAACAAGCAGTCTTCATACAAATAAGCTAGATGGGTAAAATAGGTGTAAAAGCAAAACCAAATTCTGGAAATATACTAAAATTCAGAACCGAATAAACAACCAGAACTTTCCATCGGATAGTTTACAGCTGGTAAACGCTAAGAAGAAAAAGAAATAGGATGAGATGCACTACATGACAGGCTGAAAGAAACATAGGCAGAAGCGATGAAAGAAGTGGACTGTCTTTTCAATTGTCGCATCCCTTGACAGTGACCAACCTCCAAATGTAAGTAACTCTTCCACAAGAACAACAACTTCTCCACATCGCTGGACTCGGGCTGCAGCCCATCTTCCACCAATCTCTGTGATATCTGGCTATAGACATTTGCTGCACTCTCCTGGAAGTAAAATCATCTGTATTAAATTTATTAACTTTGGCAAAGCATCAATTGAGAAAACCTGATAATAAGATAATTAGAATGTTCTTGCAATGGAATCAACAGGGCCAAAGAAATAAAGGGTGACCTTTCCAGCCAACTCCACATACACTCACACACAAAAATAAAGAAGATAAATAGAGACTGAAGTTAATGAAGATGGGGTCAAGAGGTAAATCTTCTTCTGACTGATGACTGTAACTGTGGAAAAAGAAAAGTAATGGCTGAACAAGTGTTGCAAGAGTTCCCAACATATGCAGAACAGAGAAAATTATTCAGGCTCACATGTGCTCCATTTGAGGATAAACTCTTGTTGTTGTTTGTCCATCACAGGTGATGATGACGAGTCCTTTCATCCATTGTTCATATACTGCCATAAAAAATGCCCCTAGGCATCTATGTGTTAAATGAAACTATAGTGTACATGAAAGTCCACAACAGTACAAGTCTAGCCTGAAATTAGCACTCTTGTTTAAGCAATTAAAATCCCAGATCCCTTCTTCTCCTTCTCCATCTCCTCCTTCTCCGTCTCCTCTTCCTACACCTTCTCCTCCTGCTTCTTTTTCTTCTTCCTCTCCTTCTTTTTCTGTTTCTTCTTCTCCACCTCTTCCTCCTCCTCCTTCCTTTTCCTCCTTCCTTTTCCTCCCTTCTTCTCCTCCTTTATCTCCTCCTCCTGTTTTTGTCTCCTATCCTCCTCCTCCATCTCTGTTCCCTACTCCTTCTTCTTCTTCTCCTCCTTCTTCTTCTTCTCCTCCTTCTTCTTCTTCTCCTCCTTTTCTTCTTCTCTCCTCCTTTTCTTCTTCTTCTACTATTTTTTCTTCTTCTTCTACTATTGTTTCTTCTTCTTCTTCTTTGCAGTCACAGAAAATTCTGGTTTTTCATCTACTTCTGTAGTCTTGTTCAAGAACTTGATTTTAATGTGCACATCCATTTTACACATTTGGATTATTAGTTTGCAGACTGTTGGTTCCTCACCTCTCAGGCAGATGCATTCTGACCTGGAAGGAAACAACCCTTATAAGTCATCTCTTACAACCTGCTTGTTAGGGGGACAATGTGTCTATACTTGTTTATTCCTAAATCAGGGGACAAAGAATCCACATGGGAGATCTGAAACTATTACAATTATTCTCCAAATAAATGTCTTTCTTGTTATAATGTTACTTTTCTTCTTCTTTGTGTTCACCAGCTGTAAACCCTGGTGGAATGTTCTGGCTCTTCATCCAATTTGGGACTTTGGTCTCGTCCCAGAACTTGGGTTTTGCATGCACAACCATTTTACAGATCTCGCCTTATGTGTGTGCAGACTGTTGGTTCCTTGACTCTCAGGCAGATGCACTCTGACTTCAAAGGAAACCCCTAATCAGTTGACTCTTGAGCGTGGGGGGAGGGGGGGGAGGGACAGTAGGTCTTTATTTTGTTACCCACATGGGTTCCTCGAACTCACAGAGGGATATAAGTAAAAAAGGTAAAGATCCCTTTTTACGCCTTTAGGCGCATCGGGCCCATGGGAAGAGTGCCTATATTTTTTCAAACCATCCGCACTAGGTGGGTAATGTGGTCAGAATTACGCAGGCGGGTACCCATTTCAGGCTGGGTCGACCTGCGATGCCCTATACCACGATAAAAATCCATGCAGACACAGGGATATTTTGCAACAAATATTGTAGCTGTTGACAATCCATGGTACTGAAGATCTGAAGTAATAAACACCCTTTACCTGGCCTTCGGCAACTTATAATTATTCCCCTAGACAGGCCCAGCAAAAGAAAATCACAAAGAAAAATCAATAACCTATCTACCGGCCAAACACAGGCTACAAAAGCTAGTAACCTAATATCAAGGCCGTTAATCGTGTGTGTATCCTGTTTCGACAGCCCATTCTGTGCAAGGTGAGAGAATGTTGCTACACTGATCTTAGTGCCAGGCCTTTTAATTGACTCTTTTAAGTACTAGCAGGTGACTGACTGAACTCTTTTTATCCCTAGAAACTGCTGTGGTGTAGCAAATAGTCACTCGCCTGCAGTTCCAAAGGCTGAGGGTGCAAATCCCCACTAGGCTAAACTATTTTTTTTTAAATGACATTGGATCCCAGGTTGACCCATCTCTTAATAAGTACTAGGTAAAGTCTTGGGAAGTAAAGGCAGCCGGTGTAATGTAATAAAATATAGGTCTAGCACTATATGCCTATACGTCTGAAGGTGCAGAAAAGGGTCCATTACTTTACTTCTTATCCCCAAAAGCTTTATTTTAAAGCAGACAATGTTTTTTTTTATTTGAAGGAGCTACAAAATGACACTTTAGCATACTTCTTCTTCTTCTTCTGCGTTCATCCGAAGCTGTAATTGCATTGTGTACGTTCACAGCATGGCTGCGATATTTACATCTTTCGGATAACACATCCGACTTTTGCAAATCTTTGTTAACCGGGTTAGCCTTCCCGGTTACTTTAGCATACGAAAGGTTAAACTAACAATCTGGATATAATGGGTCTATATAACAAATTTAGTCACTAATGTCACCTACCCACATTGTACTGCAGTGTAATTTATAAAGAAAGGTACCATTTCTTCTTCTTCTGCATTCGGCCTTACAAGGATGGTTGGCAGGCTGTGTTGTGGTTTACAGCTAGGCTGCGATATATGTGTCTTTTGGCCAAACACATCCAGTTTCCACAAACTCCTAATTAGTTGTCCTTTGCGATATGCCTTTCTTTTTTGGGGGGGCAGTGGATCTATTCATTTTTCCTCTAATATGTGCGCCCTAGAATCCACATGGGGGCCCCTAGAATCCACATGGGGGCCCCTAGAATCCACATGGGAAGGCCCCTAGAATCCACCTGGGCAGGCGCCCTAGAATCCAGATGGGGGGTGCCCTAGAATCCACATGAGGGTGGCCTAGAATCCACATGGGGGGTGCCCTAGAATCCACATGGGGGGTGCCCTAGAATCCACATGAGGGTGGCATAGAATCCACATGGGGGGTGCCCTAGAATCCACATGGGGGTGCCCTAGAATCCACATGGGGGTGGCCTAGAATCCACATGGGGGGTGCCCTAGAATTCACATGGGGGGTGCCCTAGAATCCACATGGGAGGTGCCCAAGAATCCACATGAGGGTGGCCTAGAATCCACATGGGGGGTGCCCTAGAATCCACATGGGGGGGTGCCCTAGAATCCACATGGGGAGCCCCCTAGAATCCACATGGGGAGCCCCCTAGAATCCACATGGGAGGTGCCCTAGAATCCACATGGGGGGTGCCCTAGAATCCACATGGGAGGTGCCCTATAATCCACATGGATGGTGCCCTAGAATCCACATGGGAGGTGCCCTAGAATCCACATGGGGGGTGCCCTAGAATCCACATGGGGGGTGCCCTAGAATCCACATGAGGGTGGCCTAGAATCCACATGGGGGGTGCCCTAAAATCCACATCGGGGTGCAGTAGAATCCACATGGGGAGCCCCCCCCCCCTCCATTAGATGAATAAATGAGGATTCTTGGATTTGCTTCTGTTTTATTTAACTCTTTCAGTCCCAGGAAGTTTAAAGGCCCAAGGAGATGTACAATCGGTGCATCCTGCATTCACTGGGCTTCAGGGTAGGAACCTATGAACGCATGATGTGTTCTTTGGGACTGAAAGAGTTAAATGGAAACAGTGACTGTTTTAGTCAATGAATGTCAATCCATCAGTCTGCAACTGCAGAGAAGAAATGTATTGTTTTTAACGCAACAAATGTTTATGATATCAGAAAGTCAGAAAATTGACAGTCTCTAGGTTAACTTTTTTGTATGACAAGTTGCTTTGTAAAGAAAGAGTTAATATTGAGGATCTATAAAGATAGCTTAGTGATTTGTGGAGCGCAGTCTGAGTGGGCATATACAGCGGAGGTGAATGAGAAGATAGTATAAGCAGGCCGTCAGTCCAACTTCTTCTAGCATGATCATAGAAATGGTAACTGTCACAAGGGCATTTGCACGGCTGGCAGAACAGAAAAGCAACTCACATATTGACAGTGACAGATTCAAATAGCATTATTGAGAGGATCAAAACTGGCAAACTCCAACTAGAATGGGTTGACAACATCCAGAAGCTCAGCTTCAAGAAACTATACTGGATGTCGACACCAGGATATGCAGGGGTAAAGGGATACGAAAGAGCCAACAGACTGGCTTAGTCTGTAGTGATTAGTGGAGGAAGAAGTATGGACAGTGTAAAACATACTAAATGCAGTGTTCCAGAGATACTGAGACAAAGGAGTCAGAGACTATTAACTGACTGTTGGAAACTGGGTACTGAATGAGGGCAAGCATGCAGAAACCAACTTTCAGAGCAAAGAATGGCCACAGTCATCCTAGAGATAGACTTGACATCTTCTCTCGAAGTCGGAGTACATCTGCCGGTGAGGCAGGGAACGGCAAACAAATCAGCCGGTAAAATGGATGTACACCCAAAACTCAAGTCCAAGGTAAAAGCAAAAAGTCCAAATGGACAAACTACCGGGACCTTCCGCTGGAATTCACAGCCGGTGAACAAGAAGAAGAAGAAGAGCAAAAAAAATAAGGTATTACAGTCAACTCCTACTGGGTACGGTCAGCACGGCGATACTGAGATGACCACTGCTTCAGAGGATGGAACACAAATGGGTCAGACTGATACAATAGGATGTTGATGTGGCAAGAATAACAATGAGAAATCTGCCATAATCAATATTAGCAATTGTTTATTTGTATGCTACTATATAGAGAGAGAGTCACCATGGCAGAGTCGCTAGGCGCTCGCCACGGATCGGAATGTTGTTTGTTCGCTTCGTGATCCAGCCGGACTTTTTTTTTTTTTAAATGACCTTGGCTCCCAGGTCGACCCAGCCTTGAGTGGGTACCGGGTGCAGTCCCGGGAAGTAAAGGCGGCTGGCATAATGTTGACCACATCACCCATCTTGTGCCAATTGGTCT